CGAGGGTTCAGGGCTACGCGCGGGCATCACCACGCCCTGGGATTCCGCCAACGGGGCCGCCCGTGGGAAGGCGGCGTGGAGCTCCTCCTGGACGATTTGAACGACCTCCGTGCGGGAGGGGAAGTCCGAAAGCGGGTGGGGGCCGCGCCCGGGGAGTCCAATCCACGCCGCGGGGGTGAATCGCCCAATGAGGTGGAGTGGACCGCGTTGGGGGGGGAAACTCATCTCCTCCGTCCGCAGCTCCCCCAGCTTCAGGTCGTTCAACTGCTGGGCGTGTTGGCGACGGGGGAAGATAAAGGTGACGTCATCCGCCTCAGAGGGGATCGGGCGGTCGAGGGCGCGAATCCGCTCCTTCGGGAATCGCCCCCGACGAAGTTGGGTTAACAATTCGAGCAGCGGATCGCTCGCGCGGTGGCGCATCGGGGTAACCAACTTCAGCTGGATTAGATGGCGAAACGCTTCGCTGTGGTAGATTGGGAGGGCTTCACCCGTGCTGTCGTTTGAAAGCTGCAGAAAATCCCCACAGACAATCATCTGCATGCCACCAAAAGGGACCGAGTTCATCCGCGCGATGCGCGACTCCATATCAAAGGCGTCGAACATCTCAGCCTCCAAGAGCGAGACCTCGTCGATAATCACGACATCCACGGCGCGCATCGCGTTCGTATCCCAGAGATTCCTCTCTATGAGACTGCAGCTGTTGATGGGGGCGTTGAAGGCGTGGTGGAAGGTGCACCCGCCGAGCTGCACGGCCGCGACGCCCGTGGAGGCCGTCATCGCAACCCGCAGCCCGACCTCCGTGAGGCGGTTGAAAATCGCCTTGAGAAGAACCGTCTTCCCGGTGCCTGCACTGCCGCCGACGTAAAGGTGATATCCTCGCAGCGCGAGCTGCAGGATGTTCATCTGATCCGGCGTGAGCTTCATCTCGTTGACGGCGGGATCCGGGCTCGCGTCGAGCTTCGGCGGCATGAACGATCCCAACAGCTGAAAATAACGACGATTGAGGTCCTCGCCGACGGCGGTAAGAACATCTGGGCGACGCATCAATCTCGCGAGATCCTGCCTCCAAGAAACCGTCGTGTTCTCAAAGTTCCTGAGCATGTGAGTGAGGATCTTATCCATTAAGCGCGACTTGCGGATATTGTCATCCTTGCGATTCTCTTCATTCTTTGAAATTTCTCCTATAGAGTTTCTCCCATCAGGAGAGGACTTGGTATTCTGATCGGGGATACTCACCGGACCCCCTGCCTTACTATCAAACACTACTTCTTCAATGTTAAGCCGCAGCCTCAATGCGGTTTCATAACACCCCTTAAGAAAAGTACGAGGGCTCCATTCGAGCTGCAGCGGGTTGCCAGGATGCGGCCGGAAACCAAGTTTGCGGAGATCACTGGCAATCTTGGAGTCTAAAGGCGTCATTTTCCCGGTAAAAGCATTAATGAACACTGATGATTGGCGTTCTTTATATGCATCTCTTATGGAAACATGAATGTTATCCGTACTACCATTGGAAGTCCCTTGATGGCCTGTAGTCGCCTGAGCAACCTGATCTGTTCTCTGCTGAGACCTTTCCTCGATGTTCTTTTCATGGGTCTTGTTGATTCCTTGACAGGATAAACTCACTCCAGAAGTGGCCTCATTAATGAAGTCTGAAAAGTCATCTTCAGGTTCCGTGTCTGTCATGTCAGAGCTAGCCGTTGGGGATGTCAGCTCCGAACATAAGCGACGGAGAATAGCTTCCGACAAGTTCACATCGTCAGGGCCTCTCGAGGAGGCGTCGGGGACTTTGGCGGGCTCATTCGTTCCTGAGGCAGGTCTTACTACGGATTCCTTCTTCGGAAGTATGTCTTTTCCTGCGGCAGCCTCAGAACTGTCTAGGGGATCATTTTGAGTACTCTGTCCTTTCTGCAGGGGTTCGTTCGCATTAGAATCCATAGCAGCTTCGGTCTCCAAGTTTGGTTTTGCAGCATGACTCTCATTTTCCGCCTGTGCGCTTGTATCGCCGTTCCAAGGGCGCCGCGCCGCATGTTGAGCATCAGTCTGGGACGCATGAGAGGGGACTTCTTCGCGTGATACGAAGTTTTTTTCAGCTAGTAGTTTAGCTCCTTTTCTAGCCTCCCTAGTGGAGGTAACCTTCCGTTTTTTGGCTTTGCTCGCCTCTTCTTGTGATAAATGCGGCAGAAGAAGAAGTGGTGAGGAAAGCGAAGGCGCTTCTGCTGCTGCTGCCGAGAGCGCGGGAACGCTACTTTTCCAACAACTATTATGATAAAATGCAGAGCTTAAGCTATCTGTGCGGGTTGTCAAACAATTGCAATTTACGATGCGTTGCGCGCAGTATCGCATAAGTCGTGAATAGCTTTTCCTCATATCTTTGTCAACACCGTTTCACTCTATGAAAATTAATCTGCCAGACGAAACTAGAATTTTTTTATTGGGCCGAGGAAATGGAATGAGTACAGAGAGTCACGTCAAGCTTGAGGACGACTTAATACTGAGCTTAGGAACTCCAGGCCGATCGGATTTAAGTAGAAAAGACAAGATAGAAAGTAATTTAAAGATGCTCTTGTCTTCTAAAAAGGTGTGCGGAAAAAAATGGAATAAAATTAAACGTATAAAAAAAAAACAAAAGAAGGCAAATATAGAACAAAAGGATCAGACAACGATTTAAAACGTTTAAGTCCATATAATGACATTAACCGTAAAGGGAGCAGTTAAGCAAAGGAATAGTAATGTAACCACGTTCCCCATTACACCATCTTGCCAACTTTTTGCAGTTTAGGGGGCGCTTTCCCCCTCCTGAGTCGCAAATCTAACGGCATCCTCCAAGCTGCTCGCGAGGTAAAAGTGAGCCTGCCCATGCTCCTGCTGCATACGAAGCAGCTCCGTCTTGTTCAGATAGAGAAGCGGGGATACAATCCCAGACCACGCTAAGGAAATACGTGGACGAAGTTGACATACGGCCGTCGTCGCTGAGCCGTACACGGAGGCATTTAGAAATGCCAAGCCAACGTGTTGGAGTGCTGCCTTCTCATCCACTTTCTCATTATCAGCCGCGCTGCCTGCCGAGGAGGTTGGTTCTGGTGGGAAAGAAAATGATGCGGAGCACATTTTCTGTATGAGATGCGTCACTTTAAGGGCTTCTAGCGGGTTTTCTCGAATCACTACATAGACGCAGTCTATGGCGGAAGACGATGGATCAAAGTCTGCGTGGGAGTCGTCGCTGCCGCTGTGGCTACTCTTAGCTTGGGCTATGAAAGCCATATCCTTCCGACGCTTCCTATCCTCCTTCTGAAGGAGGCGTTCGAACTTTGCATAGATGTCAAGCATATCCTCATATTTAATGCAAAAAAAGACACTTTCTGATAGATGTGTGGCGTTCACAGAAGCAAAGTGCCTCAGCCAATTGGTATCCTCCGCGGCAAAGTCGTTGGTGCAGGCCATATCCACCACATCCTCCACCGTGATCGGGTCCTCCTCCTCCCCCACGTCAAGCTCTTCAACGGGCCTTTCGCTCTCCTCCAATTCCTCAGAGTCCCGGTCGATAGACTCCGGCGCGAGGCGCGGCCGCTTCGGGATGTGGGCCCCATCGTCGGAAAGCACTTCATGCCTTTCTAAATCCTCCGCACGACGCCGTCTGGAGAGCGAGGCGTCCGTTGCCCGTCGAGAGACAACCGACCCCGTCACCTCGGACAAACTCCAAATCGTATCCCGCGCACAGCACGCGCAGTACTTCTGACAGCTCCATTCCTCAATCGGGTAGTCCACGATACCCTCGGAGCCACAACCACGACAGTGCTCCGAAAAGGCCTTCGCAGAGGTGTGGGGGGGGGGAAATCCCGAGTTGGCGGTGGAGGAGGTCGACCCTCTTCTGCACGCGATCCCGTCGAAAATGGCGACGCCGGTAACGCCAGCCGATCCTTCACAGAATCCTTCGAAAGGAGGCTGGCAGGATCGCTCTCGCTGCCCTCCGCATCGGGAGCGGGGCGGCGGAGGATCTCCTCCAGGCGCGCCCCCTCCCCACCAGGGCCCATCGCGATGGCTTCCTCCTGGGAATACCCCATATCCACCGCGTGGCGGTACTCATCGGTGAAGCGTTTGAAACGCAAAATCTTCTCGAGGGCCTCGTCGTCGTCGTAGCCGCCTACCTCCCCGATCTCCCGCCGGCTAGGGTCCACTCCACGGACGCGGCGAAGGTCAAACTTGGAGTCCTTCGAGGTAATCTTCGCCGCAAGCGCCTCGACGTCGACATCCCGGTAGGCATTTTTGTGCTTAAAGAACAACACATCCTTCTTGATGGTTAAGGTGCGCTGATGCGTGGTGGCGCTTTCGCTCGAATGGTGCGCCAAGTTACAAGCCTCCGCCAAGGCATGCAGCGCCCGGCGGTCTTGTCCGGAGAGATCCGTGGTGAGCTCCATCTCAAGGCGACTGCTATCCTCCGCAAACACATAAAACATGCGGTAGTAGTGCTCCAAAAACGCCCGTATGTTCTCACTGGCGTGGAGCATGTTGGGATTCAGAGAAGATTGCCGCTGCGAAGCACTGTTTTTACTATGAGGGTTACGCGCGGAGCTGAGGTCAACGTTGTAAGGCAAACTCTTTGCACTTAGCGTAGCAGGGTCGACCGTGCGCTGACGAATAAGCCGCTTGTGCTGCTCCAGCAAGCTGAGCATATCATCCCGAGAATTGGCCATTACACTGTACTTATGATTACTTAGTTTGATCTACGGAAATAAGTTTATGTAAAAAGTGAAATAAGTCAGTAGCAGGCAGAAATGCGTGTAACTTCAAGATTATCTACACACCTTGTGTGCTTGTGTCTTTCTATATAATAGAAAATTACTTATCCTTTTTTTGGATCACGTATGAAAGGAAAATTGACGCTAAAAAAAAATCGTGAAAAACGAAAATATATTTAAGCAACTTTCACATCATCTGAAACATAGTGGAAAGGCCCTTTTTAATGTAGAAAAGAAGCGCAAAATGAATGCATTAGTATTATTTTCATTTTTGCCCCAATATTTACCATAGGGATCGTCTTACATTAAAGCAATATGAAGAATATCTGAAATTGACAGAGCATGTTGCCCCAATAGGGTCAAACAAGTCAAAAATATAAATTTCTCCTTCACTTCCCCTGAAAAAAAAAGAGTCCCTCAAAAGGAAAAGTCCGTTTCTGAGGCATTCGGCGACAGACCTTTCGTGAGGATGTCGAGATCGCTTGCGGAAGCTCAGACAAATACACCGAGCTCCATACACGCTACCTCTTAAATCAGTTGCTTCTCTACATTAATGATGGTTAGGGAAAAAGGTATTAAAATACGCAGTACATATTGCTAACAAGGACAACCCATCTCCATCTGCGTTACACAACACTACTTTCACTTTTTTTTGCCTTTCCAAGTAGACCACCAGACACTATATTTGCTTCGAGCGCTATTTTCATGAGGCAGTTCTGGAAGTAAAGTTGGCTATAAATGTCTCAACCCATCTTCATAAGAGCGCCAGGCCATTTCATGTACAAAGCAAAAATAGAGATATCTTTAACAAGAAATTGTTCCGGTGCTAGGAAGCACGGAAAGCTTATCATCATAATCCTTTATCCTATTTGATGTGATTTTGAATCTTCAAATGTCTTTCTTTGAATATAAGATAGAATGTAATGTAATATTTGGTCTTAAAAATTTCACAAAAGTTACAAAATAACAGAATAATCACAATGGGAATGCGCTAATTTCAACAGTGACTCATTGAATATGTATTCGACTCCATTATTTATATTCCATACCTTCCAAATTTGCTAATATTTTAACATACTTCCCTCAGTTTAAAATTTTAGTGATTATCACATTTATTTCTTTTTTACTAGGTCCCTACTCTTGCGTCAAAAGAGCTTGAGTGGTGCCACTACAATTTGTTTAGGATCCTCAAAATGTCTATATGCAATTTATAGAGGTTCTACCAAAATAAAACAACTAAAAGCTAGAAAAAAGAAAAAGACCCTTGATCACAAATGCAAATAAACGTGCATTCCTGGAATGTTGAGTGTCCTTTTTTGTGTGTGTGGGAAAGTATCTTCTTTTTCCTCACACATGACTGTCAAACTTCTCTATCTTCACGACTCCCTTGCAAGCATGTCAAACATACAACGAAAAAGTTATTCAATAACGTTCCATTCAAGGCGTATAATGAGCGAATACAGAGAAAAGACAAAGAACATTTTCAAACAATTTCCACTTTGATTGGTGTCATTAGTCTCCACTCAGCATGTTCTGATCCACTTTCGTTATTCTCAACGTTTTACTTATGTTATTTGCCACAAATAAGGAAAAGGCATTGACTGAAAGGAAACAGGGAAACATGTTGCCTGAGGCAAAGGCCTCCTGCTGTTTGCCAATTTCGGTTTCTAGCCTCTTCCCTTTCAGAGATAAGAAAATATGAAGTGAAAGGATAATAATACCTCTGGGTGAGGGATATACATCGATGTATGTATATATATATACATACAAGTATATGTGTATACTGTAGGGACAGTGACGAAAGACATCAAAGGAATTGCGACTCGTCCAGACCACTTACCTACTCCTCTACTCACGAGATTTTACTTAACCAGCATGGGAAAAAAAAAGAAAACAATAAGTAGAAAAGGAGCAAGCGGAAAGAAGATCGACAAAAAAGCTTCGATCAAATAGACTTTAAACGAAAGCGGGAATTCACAGCATGCTTGAATTTGTGAAACGTAGGTTTCCATCTAATACTTTCTCCAAGGTCTTTCAAAAGTTTTTCTGATTCGCTCCTTGATTACTATCTTCAAAGTTTTTCCTTTACATTTTTATCGATCTGATATCCTTAAAAAACGTAATCGGGCGACACTTTGGGTTTTGTTTTTAACCGCGAAGCTAGGCTATTGCTTGCCACCTGAGACCGATGATGTGAGTAGTACTCTAACTTCTGGAGAGATTTAGTGTCGACCATAACCTTGCTCAACGCCTCCCGTAGGCTGTTTGCGAAAACTTTAAGCTTGTTGAGCTCGGAGTGAGATGTCCACAGCTGCATCGTGAATGGCTTATTAGGCCGAAGCTTGAGCATGACGCCATTGAGGGTGGTGCTGCACTCAGCAAAGGTCTCGCCTGCACAACTTATAATGGTTGTCATGAAGGTATCATCCAGCACCTGCTTATCGTTAAGTCCGGGACGGTCACGATCAAAGATGATAATTATGATGGTGCCGCCACGCTTGTTACGAGGGTACTCCCACTCCGGTTTGATGTCCTTACGAAACCAGGAATAGGTGAAGGGGATTGGGCAACTTGAGGGAGGCCGGACGTAGCGCCAGAGACGCCAAAAGCTCTCTACATCCGCTACGGTTGCTATATGAACAGGATCGAAGGGCATGGATCCCGTATTGCCACTACCAAGAGCGCCAGCCGTCGAAGGTGTGCTGATACTGGTGTGGTCATCCGCGTACAGATCCCAAGCGGAGTGCAGACACATGGGTTGGGAAGGAGGGGGAGTTTTCGTGTTCGAGCAGCCAAATATCGCGGGCAAGCGGCTACCATTCCAGTGAACCGCGGAGGCTGTAGCCCAATAAGACTCTTGAGTGCCGTCGGAGGTGGTTGGCGGTGACTGTTTTTGTGAGTTTATTGTAGCAGCACCCGACGCGGCTGAGGGCTCGCTGACCGATACCTCCGTCGATGTTATCGGATTATTTGGCTGCGAGGTGCTCTTAGGGTTGGCTGGTGAGGAGGGTGACGTCTCGTTTGATGAGGACTCCGCCATCGAGAGTTGGGGGAGCGCTTCTGAGGGCTCAACGGAGTCATTTTTCTGAGCAGGCATATCGGTAGTCGGGGATGGGCTAGGGTCTACATGTTGTGGCTTCGCATCGCCCTTAGCGATTGCCTGATTTGAAGCAGGTTTATTCGGCGCATGAGGCACGAAAGGGGTAGCATCCGCGCTAAGCTTGGTCGGTTGATTTCCTGGTGCATGCGTCCTGTCGCTTACTGGAGTTTTATAATTCATATTTGGTTGTGTCCTATTCACTACAAACTCCTGAGCAGCTGGGTTCATTTAGTAATCAATTAATATTGATACTTTTAGACTTCCTTTTTCTTATTTATGGCAACGAGAAAGGGGAATAAAACTCCACAGGAGAGCCGAGATAGAAATGAAAGACTAAAATAGAAGGATATTGGTCAAGAACGGCACCCGTTGTCATTTGTACGATCGTGGCTTTTTCTTAGGTAAATAAGGGATAGCTTTTTAAAATTTGGACGTAGGTTATTTATTTCGTTTCGTTACAGGACATTTACTATTTTAATCAAGCCCTTATAACTTGTTTCTTAGGCTGCATTGGTGCATTTCTGGTTGAGTTGATTTCATAACATAACTTAATAGTCAGTACACACAAGCTTAGCAAAAAATGCTGTGATAAGGGCATTGATATTCACAAAAAAGTAAGTTATCCATCATATTCATTATGGGGAAGGGAAAGAACGAAGAGAAGTAGACAAAGATCAGAGATCCATCTGAACTCCATCAATCACAATAGGCTCGTCACGGGGTCGGTAGACACTTCTAAAGATTCGATTAAAGCGACGCACATCGCGATCGACTAACTGCGCGAATGCGCTCGAGGATATTGTTTCGTCTTCTAGTTGCGCTAGAAGGGGCTTAGCAACACTCAAAAAACGACTTGCCTCACGCTCCATCTTGGGATCTAAATCATCGGACTCACAACATCGCACAAGTTGCTCAACCACAGCCACAACAAGGCACTCGTCCAGTTCGTATTCAGCGTCAGAACTATCTTCATCGTCTTCATCGTAATCATCGCCTAGGTCACATTCATCCTTGGAACCATTAGGCAACGCATCAGCAGCAACATCAGCAAACGAGTCCATGCCATCCTTTTCACATGACGCGGGCCCGTCCTCGAGCCCCTGATCCTCCTCAATCAAGTCGCGCTCGTCGACTGTGAGGCAGTACGGTCCATTTCGGATCGCTCGGACGATTGAGCCGTCCTCATCGACTATGGCTTCCAACCCTGCCTCCACAATCTCGCTTTCCTCACGAGTCTCATCCGTACCACCCTTTGTATTATTTTCTTGAGAAGGATCAGAACCGCATTCATCGACATCCTCGTCGCTATCATCTCGCAGACGTTTTCGGCTCTGAAAGCGTGCGAGCTCCTCGGTCGTCAGACCACGTCGCAGCGGTGCCTGCCCGGCCGATGAGGCATCGCCTTGGGTCTTGGGACCTCCCATCGTGGCCGCGGTCAAGCCGTGGGGCGTGATGGGAACCACTCGTGTACGAATCCCCACACTCGCCCACGCGCCCTCCGCGGAAGGGGTGGGAAAGACTGGGAACGACTCCGACACGGAACCCACCACGTCTTCCCTATATTCACAGTGATCTTGCTCCGCATTCTTCCCATCCTTAGCGTTTAGCGCATCCGCCTGAAGCTCCATTAAGGTCTCGGGATCGGGTTGAAGAGGGTCAGGGCACGGCACAACTCGCGTGTGAGGGGCTAATGGCAACGATGCACTATGATCAGCACCATTTACGAGGGTATTTGTTGTCCCTATTAAATCACCTGTGCTCGGATGATTATCACCACGCGGGCTATCCTCTTCTTCGTCACTATAAAGAAATACGATCTTGGTACGAGGTAAGGGCTGTGGATTCGGAGTTGAAGAGACGCTTGGCGCCGCCGCAGTCACACTATGACTCAGATCAAGACCGGAGTGATCGCCATCTATAGCCGATAAACACAGCTGAACCCTGTCTACCATTCAATCTACGTTCGAACTTACCTAGTAAATGTATAATTACCCCACTAACTATTCTGATTGATGGATTTACCCAACCGTTTTGAGAGGCAAAGTGAAGGTGGAAAATCCTTGCAAACACTTTTGCACCACGCTTCTGATTTGAAAAGAAATACATGTTAAATAAATAAGTACCGAAATTTTCAATCGCTTTAATTGTTTTGACCAAAGCTCATAAGGACCCGTTTTGAGTAGAGCGGCCCTCAGATAGGCCTCACCGGAAGTATCAGATTTATTTTTTAGAAGTGCAATGGCTCATAGCCACAAGCAAGTAGAATAAATCAGGACGCAATCATATAGGCAAATCATTTGTAATAATTTGACTCCATGTCTTTATGGAAGGGTCACCCCCCCTTATTAGACTACAGTCTTTGCTTTCGGTAATAATAAATGTGAATATTCTTGCTATTGCAAACCCTCTGTGTTTTAGGGTCAATTTATCTTGTGAAAAGAAGATGTATGGAGGTTTATAAACCATTAAGGGTCGAGAGTAACGGCACCTTCATGAGCCCTTCTTGACAGACTTCTTTGGTGTCCCACCTTCCTTTCACCCATGCTGCTCAAAGGTGATTTTGGGTCCTGCAGACGTCATAGATGCGGAACCACCCTCGACATCGCTTAGAGAGTCAAGTCTTTCGGAGATTCGTGCCGCTAGCTCATAGTACGGTCTGGCAGCCGGAAGCTCCTCATCTCCACGGAGCGCAGGCGGTACACCCTGGTCCGTATCGGACATAATGCGCTCAATAAAAGGTATCTCCCCCAACAGCGGGACCTGCAGCTCCTTCGCAACCGCCTTCACACCACCATTGCCAAAAATATAGTGCTTCTTGTCGCAGTTATCGCACGAAAAATAACTCATGTTCTCTACGAGACCCAACACGGGGGTGTTGACCGCTACAAACATGTCAATGCCACGACGTACATCAATTAAAGCTACTTTCTGCGGCGTTGAGACGATAACAGCGCCTGACAAAATCACCTCTTGGGTGATTGTGAGGTGCACATCGTTGGTGCCGGGTGGCATATCAATCAGCAGGTAATCCAATTCGTCCCAGTCCGTCTGAAAAAGAAGTGCGCGGATGTATTTGTTGATCATAGGGCCTCGCACCGCGATCGCCTCATCGTGAGGCACGATTAGACCCATGCTCATGACCTTGACGCCGAAGTTCATGGGCGGCGCGAAGCGGTCACTGCCGGCGATGCGATACGTCTCCACCTGGGATTGGCCTACACCCATCATAAGCGGAATTGACGGACCCGTGATGTCGGCATCGACGAGGCCCACGTTGAAACCCATATTCTTGAGGGCCAAAGAGACGTTCACAGAGGTCGTGGACTTGCCCACACCTCCCTTGGCACTGCATAATGTGATGACACGTTTCACACCTGGTATCTTGACGCGAGAAAATTTCATACTGTGAAAAACTTATCGATACTTATAGGGAAAGATATTAGAATTAAAAAGTATACTAAAAATTAAGGAGTCGATCAAAAAAAAGATAAATGCAATGAGCACATGAAAATTTTTCATATAACATGAAGACAAAAGAAAATAAGCGATGTCAGTGGAGGCGGATGCCGTTCAAAGAGTGAAAATAAAGACAAACAACACTAATGACCTCGGTAGGGATACTGCATTGGAGTCACCACACGCACAATATTTTCTAATAGCCCGTGAAATTAAAGCTATTAAACAGACCGGACATGGGAAGCCTTAAGGGAAAAAAGAGAGTACGTAAAGTTATGCTTTTCTCTCTTTTCATCGCATCAACACTTTAGCGAAGCTTGGTGAAGCCAATGTGGTTGGCATTCTCACGGAAGCACTGACGGCAGATGTTCAGCTCATACTTGCGAATGATGGCCTTCTGATTGGAGCAGATAACGCAGTGCCGGGAGCCTTTGCCCATGCCAATCTTCTGGCGAGAGCGCCATTGTTCGAGATGACCCATATTGATCTATATTTTAACAACCTAATCTGGAAATTAAAAATGTGAGGGCAACAAAAACCCGTAACGAGGCTAAGCATAGAAAGAGATAGCAATTAAAAAGAGAAGTCATTTCAATCAGTAAAATAAATAAAAAAATTGAAAAAAAAAAGGTAGCTAGTCTAGCTGAACGCAGTAGAACATACACATACACACACACCGTGCGTGGTTGGAAATTTTCCTTTGTATTCTCCTTGATGCTAGTGATAAAACTTGCTTTCATCAGAGCCAAAAGGATAATGGTTTCAAGGCATAGTGGTTCAAAACTCCTTGATGGTTATTTATACACAGTAATTTACTAATATATGCATCTACATAAAAAAGGTGAAATATGCAATCGCCATAAGCAAAAATTTTGAAAAAAAGGGTCGACCGATTTCTGTTTTCACATAATGGGTTTTGTCCTCAGTATATTTCATAATTCCCTTTAGAATAAAAAAGTCAACAAACTCCTTTGGTTAAGGAAAATGAAATATATAAACAAGATAATCAAATTCATCTTAACGAATCTCCATAGATGAGGCGTTCGTAGAAAGTTATGTATTCAAGAACACATCGTCAACGATGGAAAGCAATATTGCAATGAAATCAAAAAAAAAGTACGCTTCTCAAGTGGTATTTCCTAAAAGTCAAGATCACTGAATGTTTTTCTATGATAGAGAACTTCTGTCAAGAGCATACAATAATTATTATTCAGATTTTTAAAAAAATAATCACTGGGACCCGCGTATATGCTTACAAAGTCTTAAGTAATACTCTGAACCGTATTCATGTGTACATCCAGACGTAGCTCACAAATGCAGTAATGCGCCAAATTGACGTTAGCGATGATCTCACGCCTATTTTTCACCCAGCCATAGCCAGCTCAACTGACGGGCATGTCTGATCAACCGCTTGAACCAGCACATCAACCACGTACTCGGACAAAAAACCAAAGACCTTAGGGTTATTCCAAGGGGATTTACAAATTACGGCGCGATGTCCAAATCGACGCGCGCCCAAACGAGCCCAGAAGTGGCCGCCATTAAAGCGCTTAACCAGGCGAGTCTGGAAGTCGACCAGACACACCTCAAAAGGCCCTGCGCGTTCGATGATGCGCTCCGCGATGACCCGCTCACGCGGCAGGATATCCTCCGGCCACCGCTCTGGCGAGAGCTTATCCAGCCTCGAGGCGGCGATCGCTACCGGTGGCAGTTCCTCCCGCTCTGAGACCAGCGGTACCGTTTCGAGCACCGGTGAATTTGCCGCTTCTTCGGGCGTGGGAGGAGGGGGTGAAGACCCCTGCTTTACCCCTGCACGACACCGTGCGCGAAGCAACACCTGATCATGGGATAAAATGCAGAAAATAGAGCTGTATGCCATGACGGTTTGGTCGTTCAGCGCGGCCACAAGGAGGCGTCGCTTAAAAGCCCTCCAGGCATCGAGATAAGAGTCCTGCAGGAGGATATCCGTTAGGATGTTGGAGGTGAGAGACATGTCGCGCAGACTGGCGGATACGGAGGTGAGCAGGCCCATGGCCCACGTCTTGAAGCTGGAGGGCATCTCGCCGACCCCGGCGTGGGGGGTCGCGATGGAGCAGAAGGTCTCCCAGTGTACTTCAACCCCACCCTCGTGGGAATCCTCCCCCTCCCCGGGCTGATCGCCCTCGGGCGCTTGAGAGGGGAATCTGCAGTTGTACTTTTCGCGCAGGGCGGAGATGAGGAGTGGAAGTGCCGCTCGGATGATAAGCCCTCCCATAGAATGCCCCACAAAACTAAAGTGAAGATGGGTTGTTGGGACCGTCTCAGTGCTTCTGTCTTCGAAAGATGAAGTTTCATCGATATTTTTCTTCGTAGAACTCTTCTCCGACCCTCTCTTCAAAGCCTCCAATGGCGCTAAGGTGGCATTTACCCGCCCCATAATGTACTTTGCTAGTCTTTCACCGCACACCATAACGCCCTCGCCAGAAGAATGTAATGCATTCACACCAGGAATTAGAAGAACGAAAGTTTCAGATGATGGCATTCTGTGCTTCAAAAGTTTGGCGAAATATTCAAAGTCATTGGCAGTCCCGTAATAGCCATGTTGAAATGTAACAAAATGGTAAATATGCTCTACCATACCTGCTCCCTCTAATGATAATAGAATGTATATATCTTCTTTACAGAAGTGGAAGCGTCTGAAAAGGAGACACACAGGGAACCTTGAAAAAAGTGTGTAGAAGAATAGTGCGGACAAGTGATGAATAAGTGAATAAACCCCTTTAGAAATAGGATTTACGCTAAAACGTACAAGATGCTAGCACTGCACTCGCACACAAAAGGAAGAGGTAAAGTGCGCTTTGAAGTATTCAATGTGTCCGTGTAGAAGGACCAAGATTAAAAGGGAAAAAAGGAAAAATCACATTAAACCGTTTCAATAGAATCAAAACGCCTGTAGTAGCACAGGGCATCATCCCTGCTCAAATCAGAGAAAATGATAAAATCAGTTGACTTCATATTATCCGTCTTATACGATACTTTCATTTAGTGTGTCTATTTTTTGAACACTTTTAGGGGAGTTTCTGAGATTTCGGGATATATTTTTCAAACCATTGTGGTCGTTTCTTCATGTTCCCTAGATTAAGTCATGTGCGAATGCAAAATCAGACCTAGCGAATGAGTTAACTTACAGAATTTTCATCGAGATTGACAGGATTGAGATTCCAAATCTGGACAAGGGAAGACCCAAGCTTACAGCACATCCTCTCAGTTTTCGTGATCGACAATCCGATCACTTTCATCTTCCTCAACATAACACCGCGGTGCGACGATGCAATTGGTGATCCGCTTCGCTGCGCTGATCACGGCACCGGTGCCCACCACCGAATTGAGGATCGCCGTCTTCGCCCCAATTTCGACGTTCGCTAAAATAATGCTATCCGTAATGCGAGCACCCTCCCCAATCGTCACGTTGGGCCCGATCACACTCCGAGTGATAAACGTGTTCACCGAGGGCACCGACTCCACAAAGCTATCCACGATATACACCTGCTGATCCCCGATCCGTGACTTCAAGGTAAAAGGGTTGGTAGGGAGGAGAAGGGCGATGGCGCCCCCGGACTGCATCGGTGGGCCGGCCGGAAAGACGGTGAAGCTGCTGAAGCCCTTACGTGAGACCGGAACAGGGAGGGGGCTGGTCGTCACACACGCGTCGTGCCGATCCGGGCTTCCCATCCCCAGTCCTGTTCGTGGTTGTACAGGCGCCAGCCCCGTGGACTGCGAGGTCGGATCAGGAGAGGACTGCAGGAGCTGGCATTTGATTCTAATAATCTCCTGGCTGATAGCCTGGAAGTTGTCCCGTGTGTTAATACGATAGACCTTACACGGCGTGTAGGGCTGTTCCTCGAGGATGGTGCAGAAAACCCGGAGGTTGTCCGCTTTCTCCGGCAACAGCAATCCCGGGACGGCGTTCAGTAGCTGGACGTCAATCGCCTCCGCACACTTGGTGAACATCCAGTGCGTCGGGATGGTGCTGCCGATCTTTTTATCAGGCGTGAGAAAGACATTCTCGCTTGTGTTGATGGTGGTGTGCTGGTTTCGAGCAAGGAGGGGAATGATACTTTTGTTCACATTCTCGTCGGGGATGCCGGCCGACTGCGCTATGAAGTCGAGTACCCAGTGCTTCACGATGTAGACGTTGGCATCCACGACGTTCGCGGCGAATATCATATTCGGCCGCCGAGCGGCAAACCCCATCGTGATACGCAACTCTGGATTGTCATCGAGTGGATAAACATAATACAAGCGGTGCCGCATCATAACTTCGTCATCGGCCATCGGCACGGGGGTGCTAGCCGGTCCTGTAGGGGCATTGGGCACCAAATGGGTGGGAGCGATGACTGCGGAGGATACATCGGTCATCGACAAAAACGGCATCTCAAAACCCTTCCTAACCCCCCCTTTGCTGCTATCTCCTCCTTCACCAATAGCCACCATCGTCGCGGTCGCTTTTTCTTCTTCATAACCAATACAGGAGTATTCATATGTGAAAGCCTTTCGTGCCGGCTCGGCGGCGGCGCCACTTTTCTTTTTTTCCCTTCCTTTTTCGTGCACTGGGGGCGCCGCGGGTTCTACATAAGGTCTAAAAAAGAGAGCCATAACAGAGGCCAAAGAAGTATAAAAGCTTGTGACGAAGCGCTCAATGTCTATCCCGGCTAAGATCGTATCGCAGTTGAGCAGCACCGCATCGCGGTGCATCCCATGAAGCACGGCATGCTCCACCGTCAGGGGATCGCGGTTGGATCCGGAAATGGATGGATTTGCGTTAAATCCCGCCACACTCCCGCGCACGCCACTCACAACCACCCGTTCCCCATCGTTGCCCTCCATGTTCGTTTCGGATGGTCGCACCTCTTCGACAGTGTAACCGTCCGCTCCGGAACGATGCATGAACTCCTTGTACTTTAGGTACGCCTTTACCGCATCGCAGGTCGTGGAGGGATGGTCGTTGAGGGTAAGCGGTACAAGGACGAAGTGAAACTCGACGTCGTGGAACTCTCGCGTTAGGTATGTGTGCAGCGTCGCGTAGTCCTCGTTCACGCAGAGGAAGAAGGTACGAAAGCCTGCTTCAATCCAAGGAGCGAGGCAGTACCAAATTAGGGGTCGGTTGCAGATCCGAAGCATGCTTTTTGGTTCAAAGGCGCAAAGCGGCACTAAATCAAAAGATTCACCACCGGCAAAGATGACCACGTCAAGCATGCGAGTCGAAGCGCTTTCGTACGGTGGCTGTGCAGCATCACGAGTAGAGACGAATTGGTTCATAGGTTAAATGAGAAAGTAGAGTACGCGGTGGAACCCTTTTCCTATTACTAACAATTTCGTTATAGATTTCAATTCTCTATTTTACTTCCTTATTTATCACCTTGATGTGTGAGTGTATTTATATATTCCTCACCTTTGCTGTAAAGAGAGGGTAAACAAGCACGCAGATCCTTTATTCTGATGGAGTTTTCTGCGTGTTGCACGCAGAACGTGAAAAGGAAAATAAGCGGTTAAGCATTTTTTTTTCAAAACCTTCTCAACCTTCTCGGAAGGAAATATTTCCAACTTTGTTTATACGCTTCAAGCATGGTTTCTTCCACTTGCCCCCTCAATGGTAAATTTTTTTCGGACCGTCTAAACAATCGAAGTGTTGTGTTTTGCAAGCGTTGCTAAAAGTCATCCCACTTCCTACCTTGAGTTCGTTCGATATATCGAATTTTCGCCCACCTCTAATGCTAGCCCACAAAGCAAATAAAAAATAAGCCTGGCTGCGGTAGAAATTCACCTAAACGTCGAAATTCACATTGCACTGCTTGTGATTATATCTCAAAACAAGATGCAAACTTTGAAAATACACGGTAATTTTTTACCCCTCGATATACAAATTCAGCTCGCCGACTGTAGACGAAAAAGTGTATATATGGTTGGATAATCTGGAATTAATTTTGTTAAAAGAAAAAACTTTCCCTGACGTATTAAAAATCGTGCTATTTGCACGAATGCCCTCCGTCACACTTGCTGGAGCTTATTTGCGATCCTTTTTTGTGGTTCTCATCGTCAAGCTTTATTACGTATGCATCGGCTGACGGTCGTAGAACTCATCACGGATCTTTATCTCAATCTTGTTAAGCATACTCTTCGGAAATGTGCGGAGCAACTCCCAGCAAAGATCCAAGCTCTGGAAGATATCACGGGTCTCGTGAAAGCCCTGCTGGATGAATTTCTTCTCAAACTTGCCCAAAAACTCCAGGTAGAGCAGGTCCTCACTACTGAGTGCTTCCTCGCCAACCACAGCCTTCATAGCGAGGATATCCCGACTGATTGCGTAGGCTGCGTACATCTGGTTACTGACGCCGCTATGATCCTTGCGCGTCATCCCTTCTCCAATCGCATTCTTCATCAGACGAGAGAGGGAGGGCAAGATGTTGACAGGTGGGTAGAGCTGTCGGTTATGCAGCTGCCGGTCGATATAGATCTGCCCCTCTGTAATGTAACCCGTAAGATCTGGGATCGGGTGCGTGATGTCGTCGTTGGGCATGGAAAGGATAGGAATCTGTGTAATGGAGCCGGCGCGGCCGAGCACTCGGCCCGCGCGCTCGTAGATACGCGCCAGATCGGTGTACATATAACCTGGGAACCCACGTCGGCCAGGAACCTCCTCGCGCGCCGCCGACACCTCGCGCAGCGCATCCGCGTAGGAGCTCATATCCGTCAAGATCACCAACACGTGCATGCCGCAATCGTAGGCGAGGTACTCCGCGGTGGTGAGCGCCAAACGCGGCGTCACGATCCGCTCGATCGTCGGGTCATTCGCGAGGTTCAAAAACAGCACCGTTCTTTCGAGTGAGCCATTCTGCTGGAACTCGGTTCGGAAAAACCGCGCCGTCTCCTGGTTCACCCCCATGGCGGCGAACACCACGCAGAACTCTTCGTTCTTCCCCGACTGCTTCACCAGGCCGGATTGCCGCACGATCTGCGCCGCGATCTCATTGTGCGGGAGACCGGCACCGGAGAAGAGCGTGATCTTTTGCCCACGAGATATCGACGTCATGACGTCGATAGAGCTGATTCCTGTTTGGATCATTTCCTCAGGATACACCCGCGCTCGCGGGTTGATGGGGATGCCCTCGATATTACGGTACTGCTCCGGGAGCACCGGTGGGCCGTTGTCGATCGGTGTTCCTGAACCGTTAAAGATGCGTCCGAGCATATCCTCGCTCACCCCAAGCTCCATCACCTTTCCCGTAAACTCGCATTTCGAGTGCAGCACGTCGATGCCGGAGGTCCCCTCAAAAACCTGCACCACCGCCTTGGTTCCATCCGTCTCCAGCACCTGCCCGCGTCGGATGCTCCCATCCGCGAGCTCGATCTTGACGATCTCCGCGTAGGTCGGTTTGCGGACGTCCTCCACGATCACCAGAGGACCATTAACGGCGCGAATGGTGCTGTACTCCAGATGAGGCTTCACGGCGTAGTCTTGAGAAAGGCTAGCGATGTGGTTGACTAGCAGCTCCTGCTTAGACAGCATACGCGGGCCATTATCTTTCTCCGACATCCTTTCTTCTCGTCCTATTTTCGCTTGGACGGGAAGAAATAAAAATAATATTTATACAGAATTAGACTAAGTATAGGGTTGATCCTGGCTTACCTATAGGTTTGAGGTTTCCCGCAAAGTAATAAACAAATGAGTGAAGATGAAATACACATGCCCATCCTAGAAGATAAGGGAATTGTCAAAGCAAGGACAATTGAGGAATCCCTAACAATATGAACTCAGATAAAGGATGTACATTATCACAAAGGAACAACACGAAATTTGTAAACAATAAAAAATTCTGCATCAAGAGATTCATACAAGAAAAGTTTCCTACAACTCAATCATTTTCAAATTCGACAATTTTCCTCGCAATCCATTTCTTTGAATTTCATCATTTTCGTTAAGAGTGGCATTTTTCTAATCACTGAATACTAACTTAATTTGGAAACAATCGGAAAATATTGAACAAAAAAATAAGAATGATAAACCAAGCACGATAGCTATGCATAAGATCAAACTGAGAGGTTTAGACGAAGTGCCCAACTTGAATTTTGAGCTACACACAATTGAAGAAAACTAGATAAGTATGTTTAATATTTTTTTTAATGAATAAAAGATAAAAAGACAAACATATATATACACCGTTTGGTTCGAGAAAGATATACAAATATTTCGTTTTTCGTATCATAAAGCACTGATTTTTATTGTTGATCCAAAAAAACGACTCAGAACACATTAGCCATTGTATTAAGGTGCTAGAGATTCATGCTGGCATAACATGCAACGTAGTTACAATAACTTCGCTTTAAGGAAAACCCTGTAGGCTGTTTTTTATCCAGTTTAACTTATGCAGTAAATGCAGACATTATGCTTCTACCTATCGAATGTCTATAACCACGCCTTAACCTCCTCCCCTACGTCTTCCGTATCGTTGCTAACATTACTGCGCTACTAAATTTGCACTCGCTTCAAGACATTCTTATTAATCCATCATTAAATTTAAACATTTAGACTAAATACTCATCTCAAGAGATGATATAAATGTATATTGATATATATGATATGCATACCAATATTTATATGGACAACTCGTCTTCCCTTTCAAAATTTCCTTATCTCAGGCCAAGGTTACACATCTCGTGCATTTCCTTTCTGCACCCTCACTCGGGATTCCTTTTTTTCTTTCACTTTGTTAGTTCGCATGGATCCAATATTTTCGAAGTAAGGGTCGTTATTCACTTAATTTTGTAGAAAAATTCAGTATAGTAAATCGTTTGAGAATTGACCTTATTTTATATGTTCTAGAAAGAAAAGAGCTCCCTATGATAAATCCAAAACCATACGGGTAGGTTCCTCAATAAGATTCTTAATCTTCATTAGAAATGTCACCGCCTCGGAGCCGTCGATGAGACGGTGATCATACGTCAAGGCAACAGCCATTATATCGCGAATTTCGATTTTATCCCCCACAACCCAGGGCTTCTTCTTAATTGCGTGCATTCCGAGAATGGCGCTCTGAGGCGGGTTGATGATCGGCGTGCCCAACCACGAGCCGAACACGCCGCCGTTGGAAATGGTGAAGGTGCCTCCCGTCATCTCCGCCATTGTGAGCTTGTTGATCCGAGCCCGTTCAGCGAAGTCCGCAATGGCCTTTTCGATATCTGCGAGATTGAGATTCTGCACGTCGCGTATCACAGGTACGACGAGTCCGCGTGGCGTCGCCACCGCGACGGAGATATCCACAAAGTTGTGGTAGTCAATCGTATCCTTCCCGAAGGAGGCGTTCACGCTCGGCACATCCTTCAGCGCAATCGCACTGGCCTTGACAAACGGCGACATCAGCCCCAGCTTCACGTTATGTCGCTTATGAAAGTCGTCTTTAAATTGGTTGCGAATCCGCATGATCGGGGTCATGTCAATCTCGTTAAACGTCGTGAGCATCGCACAGGTGTTTTGACTCGCCTTCAGCCGATCCGCAATACGTTGACGCATGGAGGAGAGACGAACGCGCTGTACCCGAGGGTCTTCCCCCATCGCCGTCTGCACGCGCGGCGCGGAAGGGGTTTGTGGAGCGAGATTTGCCGCTGGAGGAGGGGCTGCCGCCTTTGCCGCGGCAGGAGGAGCCACTTCTGCCGCTTTTGGTGGCGGGGCCTCGGCCTTGGGGGCAACCGAGCCTTTCTTCATCGTTGAGAGTTCCGCGCCCACCTCCACGTCGTCGCCATTTTGGAAGTTAATTTTCGTGATAACCCCATCGGCAGGGGCACGCACGTCCACGTTCAGCTTATCGGATTCAATCTGACAGATGATCTCATCCTCGGCAACAGAATCCCCCACTTTTTTGGACCAGTTCACGACTTTGCCTGAACTGATGGACTCCGCGATTGCTGGAACGTTGATGCTAAGGCAAAAGCGCAGGGCAAGAGCGTGGGTGCTGGCTACCAGGGCGTTTGTCGTTTTTGCAGTGGAAAAAAGACGTCGAAACATCATTTTTTAAAAAAAAATCGCGCTAAAAGTTTGATCACAATGAAAGTAAGCTATGCTGAGTTTACTAAACAGGAAGAAAGTAAATAAAGTAATAAACAGATCGCTTTGGAAAGAATAAAAAAACAGGTGGTGGGCGACAAAATGTAACTGTTAGAGGAGACACACAAATATTAAGAATAAAATATCATGCACAATAAACGCAAGTATTTATGACACAAAGTAGTGCTAGTGGATTCTTTAGGGGAGAAAAAAATAACTACATACACCTGTGCTCTACTCTCAAGCAACTCTCAAATATTCGAATATTCAAAGTTTCCAGATAATTTATTTTACAAAACCCCTATTCAGTTTTAAAAAATAGCAAGAGAGTAGTGACGGATTCGAATAGAAACCGTGTTGCCTAGAGCTATTAGTCATGCTTTTTTTTCCGTAACACCCGAAAAGCACTTAAAGTATCACACAGAAAGGATAATACTGTATCATCCCAGTATAATATCCCTACAACATACAAAACGCCGATCGCTATAATTTTCAGCAACGAGAATGTAGTTGAGGAGCTAAAAACCAGCAGCAGGGCAAGATAAGCCATCAAATAAGGACTAATCGACGCCCGCTTTAGTGTCTTAATGGTTAAAATGGCTTTACGCTCGACCCCCCTGCCATCTCTTGCGTGGATGCCTGAAGGCTTGAAACTATTACTATTAACATCCCCTCCGTCCGATGAAGATAAGGACGAATCACACTGAGCATCACCCGCTTTCTGAAATACACCTCTCGGTCTTTCATCAGTACAGATAAGTAAGTATAACACACAGCAGATACGGTAGACTGCATTCATAATATTCGCAGCAATGAGGTAGACAACCACCTTAGAATCGTTGCTATCGTTGTCATTCCCCTCTAGTTTGCTATTTTGACTGACTCCGTAGCGCAATAGTGCATAACACAAGAGTATGTAGAAAAACGAACTGGTTGTCATTACGCGCTGGAAACGACTTAGAATAGTAGGTGAAGCAACCGCACGCAGGAATGATTCCAAAAGACCTAGTACGGCTATTAAAGGCAAGGAACAGAAGTAACATTGCAGTGCGTACACGGAACTAGGGCTGGTCCAGTGGCTGGTATAGAGTGTTTTCAGGATCAAAGGCGTCATCGGTGAGACCAGTAACGTAAAACTAAAGCCGAGATAGAACGCAAGGCGTGTCATCACACAAAGCAGGTCCACCGCTACGTTAATTTGACCTCTGGCCACATCTTGACTCCATCGCACAAAGCAGGAACTTTCCCAGACATGAAAAACCAGTCGTACAACCGTGGAGCCGAGGTTTATGATAAGATGATAGATCCCTCGATCCATCGCCGTCCCCATCGTGCTCAGCGCAAGGCTCTCCCCACCAGAGAGCACCACCCGCAGCAGAGTTTCAACAAAGAACGAGCCAAGAAGATGAAGCTCAGCATAGCACGTTGAGATAATTTTTCTGAACTCGATATCACACCAAGGGAAGGGTATGATCGCCTGCCGCCACGTTTGCAATGCGCCTTTGGATAAGGAAACCACCCGGAGCTGATCCATAGAAGTGCTTCCGCCCAACCAGCGCCATACGGAAGGCCTTCCAGATAATAATAATGCATAATAAGAAATATTTGCCACTGAGCAAGCCAACTGCCCAAGTGCAAAGAACATGCGCGTATCCCATGATGAGTGCATGCCATAGAAATGAATTAAGGAAATGACGGTCACCTGGCGGCCAGTAATTGAAAAAAACTCAGCAATCACGACAACATGTATCATGTTCAATGAGTGCACAAGCGCAACGCATGGTTCGGAGAGGAGCCTAATTACAATACTAAGCCACACTATGAGTTCCGGGTAGATTGGAACGATGAAGTGCATCCAAAAGGCATGTAGCTTACTCCCTTGAACCTGACTCTGCATTAATGGCTGTGATGTAGTTTTCCACGCATTTGCCCACAGAGAAGGTAGTATATGCAGCCCAGTCATCGAAACGCTTATCTCCAAGATCACCACAATAATAAATGCAAGGGGCACGGAGAGTAAGGAGAGATTCACCACTTCACGTATCGCCTTTCCTGAGAAAGGAGTACTATCTTCAGTATTAGGAATATTCTCCGGATTCTTACAACCCTCCTGCGCTGATAAGGGTGAATCCTCGGAAGCATGCTTTGGTTTTCGCAGATTCGTCCGAGAAGATACGCTCCGTATCGCATCCCTGGCTGTGAAAAGAACGAAATCTACATAGAGTGTGTAAACAAATCCCATCCCACTCTGAGAGGGTAGCAGGATTCGCGTCAGGTAAACTGTGAGCGTGAAAGTAATGGATCTTAAAAAGAAGTTCAAGCCTAAAGCTAGAGCTAATCTATTGTAGAAACTCATTTCCCTTCTTTATGACTACCTTATTCTTAAAGATATGTGGACAATGGCTGCTATCTTATGCTTATATGTATGTTTTGACTAATTTCTTACCTCTTTGGTGTCGAAAATAACATAAGAATACAAAAAAACGTTGCCGATAACTACACATTAAGAATAAAATACCGGATTTATTTAGACCCTATATTCATATGTCATAAACATAGTAACTTTTACTAAATGTTACGAAAAGCACAAACTACACCCAAAGAGTAGAAGAAAGGGGAAAACACATGACAACATAGCTGGTTTAGTGACGAAGTTATTTTTTCTTCTTTAACTATAGCTACATCGTAGTCAAGCTAATGATAGCCACAATGAATCGTCGTACTATTTGTCTCCTGCTCAGGCTTACCCTCCTCCCCCCATTTATAAGTTCGTTTCGACGGCTTATGCACTTAAGAATAGAAAGTACCAAAACAACAAGCCACTCCTCAAGACACCACAACATCATGTCACAGGCCAGATGTGACGGGCCAATGCGACCTCAGTCCTCCTCCCCGGCGTCCGTCGGGCTCTCATCCCGGCCCCCGTTCTTGCCCTCCTCTCCATCCCCTACGGCGGAGCTGCGGTCGCCCTCCAGAGGCTCAAGACGCCGTCGGGCAAAGGTCAGGTACGAGCTGTGCCCCTTGGACACCAAAGCGGGACGAAATCGCAGACCTTCACGGTCCCCAGCCACCCTGGCGCGCTTGTAGATCGGCTCATAGAACTTTGTGAGGGCCTCCACGGTGTGCACATCAACGAAGTCCTGTGGAGGCTCGCGTAGTTTGGAGGCGGTGCGCTGCGTCTGCTCGATACAAGGTGAGAAGGTGCACAACATACCATTTGGTTTGAGCACATGCCGAACATTTTCGATGGACTCCCATGGTGCTGGTACGTCAAGAAAGACGGCGTCAACGGAACGGGACGGGAGTCCAAACCCGCATAGGGGTTTCTCCATACTCTCAACATCCCATTCCTCATCTAGATGATCAAGGTCAATATCGGGCGCGCCGGTGTTGACAGCACACACGTCTCGCCAATGGCTGGATACGAGTCTTGGCCCGAGCCCATTGTCTCGGAACTCACGCCGTGCCTCCAGGCAGCGATCCTTGTGGAAGTCGAAGGTGAAAACGACACCATTCGGGGAAACTGCTCTAGCTAATGAGTGTGTTAGACTCCCACTGCCAGTGCCCGCCTCAGCCACACATTTATTAGGCCCCAGACGTAGTTTGAAAACAATAACCGCAATATCGGTGTCGTAAATAATTTGCGTCCGATGCGGGACCGCCTGAGTCCACATGTCTGCACTATTCTGTAACACTAAGATAGAGGGTGTGTGAGGATCGTCTTTGATGTTACTCTGACCTTGGATATAGGTTCCAAAAGGTTTGCCGATGATGTCGTTGTGCGAAAATTTACCCTCCTTACAGTGCAGAATCTCACCTGCTTTAAGCTTCAGCGGTGTCACATTGAGATAACTGTGAAACACGAGGACCACATCAGACTCCTCTGCAACAGCCATTCCTTGTGGAGCTAACATTGGAGCCTTGGCTACAGTGGTGGTAATCTTTTCACAACGCACTTGCTGACCTTGGAACGCCCCTATTTTCAAATCTAACAACACAAAACAAGATTCAAGATAAAGAGATCGAATTCAGCTAATGTGTAACTTTATTTTTTTAATAAATTTAGTTAGACCACTAATTTCGTTAGTAAAGAAATAAAGAGGGGTTTGCCTCTATCGTTGCTGATGAATTGATATATATATATATATATATATATATATATTTAAGTACAAGGTATATGCGTATGACAGAATTT